GGTACAGCGGCCCCGACACAAGCAGCATCCCAGTCAGACTTCAGTTTCTTATCACGGCCTTGACTACAAACCCCTCTGGTAATTTGCACACCCATCAGGAGAGTGTAACACAGCTGCAAAGACAGGCAACTCGCTGGCTGAAAACACACACCAACGGAAACCTCACCATCAAGCACGTTATAGATGGGTTGGTTGTGGTGAGTTAAACTAAAGGACATGATATCTGAATTAGTCAAAACTTTCTCTGAATGAACTTGCATCGAGATTTAACAGGAAGAAAAATCTGCGTGTCTTGTTAGGAAGCTGGACGCAGAGGGCATTTCCCAGCCATAAACTTGCAGCAAGAAGGGGGAATGTGGAAACGCCAGGCAGTGATTCCAACCAGAGCACAGATGAGCGGTTGTCTCCCTCCGAGGCTGAGTACGTAACTGCAGCAGGGATGGAGAACAGGAATGGAGAAGCGGAAACGTGTCCATCGCTCGGAACACCTGGAATATTAAGGCTTAATATCAGTGATGACCGACTAGTGCAGAGAGACTTTGAAGAGAGAGGCATCAGATCTGTTGACAGACACAGAGAATGAACGAGCCGGAGGCTGTGACTTGAGGCCGAGTGGCCGTGGCCGCCGTGGCCTCCGTGGCTGCCGTGGCCGTCGTGGCCAGTGGGCCAGCTCTCCCGTGGGGGCGGTGGAGAGTCAGGGGCCACGCTGCGGAGCGAGGCTGAGTAGACACGGTCTGCGTCCCGGTGACTCACTCAGCTGAAGGTGGAGCGTTGTCGGGGTGTAGAAACAGACTTGGCGTGCGGACCAGGAAATGCGCCAGGTTGTTATCACTGATTTAATGCCTTACAGTAAAAATCACACACTGGCACAGCCTTACAAGAAAAGGGACCTCGTTGCACTGGGTTCTATGCTATAAGGCCCACTAACCTCCGGCTTCTAAGGTTCTCGGCGAGACGGCCTGAGGGCACCCATCCGATGAAAGTGTTGTCTGTGGGATGAGGCAATGTTAGTACGTCTTGGTTAATTGGGAGCAAATACACAAGAAATAGTCAACAGCAACTACCTGGAGAAAACGGGGCTGAAGTTGAAGTGGGAGAGGGAGTTTCGCCTTCTATCCTGCATTAAATTTCAGTATTTTTAAATAAGTATAATTTTATTAAAAATCAGTTAAACAGGAAGCAACATTATTTGCATGATATGCTATCAGTTTGATGCGCGATACAAACACGCATGATTCTCTAAGGTGGGAAAATACCGAACAGCCGTGCTCCAGCTTGCAGGGTGGCCTCGGACGCCGGGGGTGACGTGCCCCCGGGGACACTCACTTCCATCCGCTCCCCCTTCAGGCTACCTGGCCAGTTCCATTCCTCACAGGTAACACAAAGGTGACCTCCTCTCTGTGGCTTCCCCTGACCTCTGTTCAGGGGCAGTTGTGACAACTCCGTCCGTGGGCCCGTAGGACGCTGCACGTAGCTCCCTGACGCGGCCCCTCTAACGCTAATCATCTGCCACCTAACCCTCAGCCTCTGCAATGGACAGTTACTATTATTTTTACAATGGACCCCTTTAAGGTTGTTTTAAATCTTAGATTTTTCTCAGTCGTCCAAGCACACGCACACGCACACACCTCTTTTTGTTATTGCTGTTAACCCTCACCTGGGACATTTCTTCCATTGATTTTTAGAGGGAGTGTAAGGGGAAAGAGGGATGTGAGAGCGACACATGATCAGTCACCTCCCACCGCTCCCTGACCAGGGCCAGGGATGGAACCTGCAACTCGGGTACGTGCCCTTGGCCGGGAATTGAACCCGCGACCCTTTGGTGCTCAGGCCGGCGCTCCAGCCGCTGAGCCACGCCGGCCAGGGCTCCTCCTGAAAAGCTCATCCGCTCGGGAATCTGGGGAACGGACGTCAGGAAGCCCTGTTCGGGTCCTTGTACGTCCCCACTCACGTCCTCACGGTGACAGCGAGTGGCAGGCACTTGATGAATGAACAAGCGAGCGAACGCGTGACAGTCCACCTACACGAATGGCCAGACGGTCCCTAAGATCACAGCTCTCCGAGAGAGCCCGGCGCGTCCGAGAACCTCTGCGGAGATCAGAGGAACCCCTCCCGGGAAACACGATCTGACAGAGGCTGCCAGGCTCCCCGCCCTAATTCGGCTGGACTCCCGGCCTCCCCGGCTGGGCCGTGCAGACCGCGGCGGAGGGAGAAATTCGTTCCACTCAGGGTCTGAAATACGACCCGCAGCTATTTTTCACAGGGGCGCAGGTGGGGGGCATTCTCCTCACCCTGGTTCTATCACAGACCCCTCAAGGGTAAGTGAGATTAACGGGTCTTGCCTTTGGGGAGGGTGGTGAAACTCTATCTACGGTCCCTCCTCACAGATGTGCCCCATCTGTTGCTGCTCTGGGGGGGTGGCAGCTCACAGCCGGCGTCCTGGGGTCCCCGGGCAAGGCCGGGGCTGCTGGGCTGGGGGCGTCTCCTCCGGGCTCCCGGGTGCTGCCGGGAGGCCCTCAGCGCGGAGACGGGCCTGGCCTCCCAGCGGGTGTGTGGAAACGCCTCGGAGGTGAGATTTCGATCTAGAAATGTCCCTGTGTTGTGTCTCTATGGAAATTTCTTCCCCTTCAGGGTGTCCCAACAGCCCTGCCTGAAAGAGCCTCCATTTGTTTAAGAAAAAAAAAATGAGAGTGAGAACAGGGCTATTGTTTCCCCAGCCTTCTCCTGGGCAGTTGGCAAACCCGAGCCTCGGCTGCTAGGGGACCGGCCGTGACCCGCCCCGGCCTCCGGAGGGTCCCTGGCGGGAAGCCCACCAGCCCCGGCACAGCCTCAGCTTCCGTGGGGCAGGGGCCTGGGGACCCGATGGGGCCCTGACAGGAGTGGGAGCCGCTTTCCAGACGCGGACGCCAACGTCCGACTGGGATTCCACCGGCCACGTGTCCCCGCCGGCAGGGACGCGGCCTTGGACGGCGGACGGGGTCAGAGCTCAGAAAGGGACGGAAGGCGCGGGGACCCTGCGTCTCCCCCGCGACCCCTCAGGGGCGGGTGTCCGGCCGGGAAGGCTGGGCCCCGGCTCCAGCAGCTCTGAGCAGGTTCAGCGGGAGAGGGACTTGGCACGAACGGGCCTGAGGGCAGGTCTGTCAGTCTCCTCAACAGCATCACAAGGGCAGGACTCTCCTCGGACCCACGACGCCCCTCAGCATTTTAATGGCTTTTCCTTTTTTCTCTTTTCAAATTCGAGATAATCACGAGATTTCTCTAACAGAAAAGACAGCCGAGGAGAGAAACCCACTGTGGGCTTCATCGGGTTCCAGGGATGAAGGTGTCTCTGGCGCACACTCGGGGCGGCCGATAAGCCCCCAGCTTCTGGAAAGAGCCCGTGCTGAGGAGTAACTCCCGGCCCCGCCTGCTGTCCGCCCGGCGCAGCGTGTGCTGTGCGGCATGTTGTGTAGAAAGCAAGCTGGAGGCACCCGCTCCGGGGTGCCGGTGGGGTGACAGGGAAGAAAGCTCGGGCGGTTGGGAAAGTGGATGGTTCGACCTACCGTTCGGAACAGCACTCGCCCACCCCCAGCCCCGCCCCCGGCGGGTGCGTCCACCTGCGCGAGGGCCGCGGGCCCGGCAGGTGCGGCCCTGGGTTCCGTCAGCTCCGTTGGCAAGGCTGAGGGAAGGTAGCGGGAAACAGAGTCAGCATGTTTTAAAGCCTAAACTGGGAAATCTAACAACCTGTTAAAACAGGTGAAGGAGAGTGTTGGTGTCAGAACTCGTGCCCAGACCCCTGCAGGGGCTCCGCTGCTCTGAGCCAAGGCCGGGCCTGGCCGGGGCCCCCAG